GCTGTGTTAACCTTGAATTCCTTCACTTTTGAAAGATGCATATCTCCTTCATATTTATCATAAGATTGATGGTTTGTTTATAATGTCTTTTCACATAATATTCTTTTGACGTCGCAATGCAGTGGTTGCAAATCAGTTTATCTTTCCATTAACAGTGGTACAAAAGTACCACTTTTCTTGAAACACGTGTCCTTCTTCAGAGAATTTTCTCTTTTTACGAGATGAAGTCGAATTCGACATTTTTAAGGCAAAATATTACAAAATTACGTTTTCACTTTACATTGAGATAGAATAAACAATCTAATCATACCAATTGAAAAAAAATCTCACTGTATTTAATAATCTGCATTACCAACATAGACAAAGTTCGCGATATACAACGGCTACAGAAAATTTTATGAGGACCGCCAAGATGCACGTAAAGGGTCTCATGCATCCCGCGGGGCGCCAGTTTGACACACTTGCTGTAAAACACACCCAAGTGTGACTACAGGGGCAACTAACTTCTAGTAATATGTAACCTTAGAGTGAAACTGCAGAAATTGAGAGAGCCAAGACAGCACCTAAAACAATCTGGTAGATTCCGGAATGATTACGAAATTTGAAGGAGAATTATATAGACAATAGCAGCACGGCCCGGCGTTGCCTGTGCTTGATTCAAAAATCGTACGACTCATACAGCAATCGCTATCACTTGACTTAAAATACTTTTACCCTTTCTTGCCTTTAAAGGCGTGCCCTTTGCCGTGCTTATGTTGCTACATGCCTTACTTCTTGCCTAATTTTTTCTAAGCTCTATACTAAACATTAAACCTGTTACGAAAAAAGAACTAAACAAAATGAACACAAAACGATCAGCTTTAAAAAAAGGACTCGTAACTGGAAAAACCGAATGAAAAAAGAATGTTAACAACAAATACTTTTTCACACCGAACCCAGTTCTGCAGAATCAGAATCAACGTTGAGTTTAAGCAAAAAAAAAAAGCGAACGAGCCAATTGGAGTAAAGTGCCAAGCAGATTTAAATTTTTCCCACTTGTGACGAATGCAGCTATCGATTTTTTTTGCATGCTAGTTAACATTCGTGTCAGTCAGCTGTTGGCTCTTACGCTGGCCAATAGAATCTTCCTGCCTATTCGTGGCAGCCAGCTATAGGTTCTCACTCTGGTCAGTACAAAATGGCTGCAAACTGTATGAAAACTGCCGTAAAGGCATGAAAAAATCGATTATTTCCACTATCGATGGGAGTTGGGAAATGCAAAGTCGGTCTTGGTCTTCCCGCTAACTTGGAGCATGTGCATATAAATTTTGGTGAAAATCTGTCAAAAATTGCGGCCGTGCATTCGTTACACGCACACACACACACATCCTACCTTTTATAGATAGAGATTCAAAACACATACAATGAAGTGAATGAAAATGGAAATTTGAAGTGGGACGCATTAAGAGAAGTTTTAGTGACATTAACAAGTGGGATCCTTCGAAAGGAAACGAAACAAAGAAAAAGGAGTGGATCACATGAAATTTTTGTTATGATGAAAAGGAGACAGCAAAAAATGCCAATGTATGGCACAGAATATAGGAGATTGGACAGAAAGAAATTAGGTACAAATGTAAGCAGGCAAAAGAGGAAAGGGTCAACAAAATGTGTGCAGAAATAGAAAGAATGAGTACGACAGATAAAGCAGATATGTATAAAATCCAAGGATGAGACACTCCTCTACGATTTTTTGAACAGGAGTAAACGTTTATCATTTGTTTCCTGTTTAGGATTGGGTTTCTGGTCCCGTCAACTCTGTACTTCTGATGTCTCTACCTGAAATTTTATTCGGTAATTATTATTTTTTCTCTGATAGCAGTCCGGTTCACACGCCTCCCCCGGCTGAATTGCAATATGAGGAATAATGAAATCTGCAGACTATATCAAAATTCTGGATGAAAATCTACAACTATCAGAGTAAAATCTTGATCTAGGTTGGTGATTTACTTTCCAGCAAGATAATGATCACAAACATACGTCTAAATCAGTGACTGCATGGTTTCAGAAAAAGATTACAATTTTGCTATGGCCTTCAATGCACCCTGACTTGAATCCTATTGAAAATCTATAGAAAGGATTGAGAGTTTGAATAATTTGTCAGTCATCAAAGAAACCTTCGGGAATTAATACATGTAACTATTGAAGAATGGAAGAAAATCCCAGAAAAGATTTGTTCAAATCTCATCAAAAACTTTAGAGAATGATTGCAGAAAGTTATAAAGATGAGAAGCCAAGTTATTAACAATTAATATTGGGAAAATTGTTCAATTTTTTTTCTATTTTTTACATTGTACAAATAATTTTGTCATTTCCTATTTTGAATAACTCGCCTGTCAAATTTGTTGTATTTAACCTATTGTTCCGAAAATTAAGTTTTATATTTCTTTTTTTGTGCTTATTAACATAAAAAAACTGGCATCATATGAGCATTAGATTCTAAGAAATGGATAAAAATATTCAAAATTGATGGGTGTACAAATAATTTTATCGTTGACTGTAGATGAGAGACAGGGTTTAGTATTTTGTAGTGATTAGTAACTCTTCTACAAAAACAAAATATTAAATATATATTTACTCAAATGCTGAACTCTTATCCTTAGAAATCATATTTCCAACAAACCAACATGCACAGGCATTCCATATCAATTTTATTGCTCTGACAATAAACACTAACAATTTCTTGCTTATTTTTAATAAAATTTGAAATTTTTTTTTTTACAAAAATGTATTTCTGTACACTCCCCCAAATTTCTCAAAAAGATGCAAAATTTCTTCACATATAATACTTACCTCTTATTTAGCAAGAAATATTTTAGATAGAAAAAATGATACTGAAATTGTAACAATTATTTATTATTTTTAAACTATTTTGATTTGCAATCCTAATTTAATCATTTATAACAGCCAGAAAGGCATATTTTCCAACTACACTTATTAGCTAAGGTGGTTAGCCAATCCCTGTCACAGACACCTGCTCAGGCACATTTTGTGTTTGTGCAAAACCTACAGAGTCCACCTGTGATTTATATTGCAACTATGCTGAGTGGAACTTAAATATACTCTGTGTGTGTGTGTGTGTGTGTGTGTGTGAGTGAGAGAGAGAGAGAGAGAGAGAGCATAATCTGTCATGACCAGAAGTTTAAACAAGTCAATGCACTCAATCCCTCGATCACAATGATTTGTGACTTTATGTTAGCACAATCATCGAACCTGGGTCTCATGATTGGAAAGTAGACGTTCTAATGATTATCTTATCCTACAATCATCAGGGAACGTGTGGATGAAACAGAATTTTAAAAATTTTAACATACTTTTGACTTGTAGTCCAAATATTTTCCAAAGTTAAGCAACATCAAGTCTGGTCAGTACCTAAATGGGTGACCATTTGAGAATACCAAGTGCTGTAAGTATGGATTTGTGGGTGGTATAATGGATAAATGGCTCAAAATTGTTAAATGGAGAGCTGAGTTCCAATTCCTGTTATATTCACTTGTGCGCAAATACCACTGGAAAAGGTATGAATCCACATCTCACCCCCACATGTGGGTTAATTAGTAAACACCCACCCCCACCGCAAAAAAAATTCTTACAATCTAAAAATATTTTCTGGCTTTAAATAACTTGCAAAGGTTGATAATCTAAATCAATTAATCAAACATCTGCTATTCAGATTCAGTGATATATTTTCTGTTCAAAGCAATAATAAAATTTCAAAATTATGACAAGTAAAAATAGATTTAAACAATTTTTATCTTTAATTTTGCTTTATGCAAATCAAAGATTACAAAATAAAAATGTACATATATGTATATATACAACCAATAATTGTATTAAAAATCTCATATTGTTAGAAAGAAACATGAATAATCAGTTGATATTCCAATCTTTGAATGAAAGTTTTCAAAACTGGATTTTAGGGGGACTAGAATTTATTTTAGAAGAACAAACATTTTGATGTTAGGATAGTTTAAAGAAACTAATCCTGATGTTTCTATTACGCACAAGTGAAAAATAAACATTTGGTATGTGTAAAAGTTCCCAGTGACATTTGTTAAAGGCTAAAATTTCTGCTGGAAACTTTTGCCTACACCTAATAGTTAAAAAGATGATCGGAGTCAAAACCTTTCCAAACTTTTTGCATTAGGGACACATTTTTAAGAAGAAAAAAAAAAAATTGCAACAAATTATTGAATTTTTGTTAGTCAAACAAAATATATAACTTAGAAATAAATAATTAAATGAAAACTGTATTGAATAAAAGCGGAATGCTTAATTAGTGCCATTGAAATATTGTAACAAAGCAGTTTGGAAAATTCTGAGCTTTAGATTTTAACTCTTCTTAAAAAGAAAAAATTATCTTTGTCATTTCATAGAATGTGGTGCATTAACATTGGTTTTCTTGTCACGACAAAAAAGTAAATCATTGAAGGTGCAATCTTGAACTTAAACATTTCTAATCAAATTTTTAAAGTTGGCATTAAAATAAAGCAATTTAATCAAAATTTAATAATATAGATTTAGGTCAAGGCTCAAATCTATAAACATATTATGTAATATGTTTATAGATTTGAGCCTTGACCTTAAAAATGGGACTGCTGTGGCTGAACTAGCTTAAGCATCATCCACGTAAGATGAAGGCCTACAGTATAGGATGCAAATTCATGTCCCAATCCATAAAAAAAATGTTAAAGTACTAGTGGAAGCTTAACAGTGTTATTGTATGAAACTCATAAATCTTTTCAGTCTGTACACTTTTCAGTTTGGTCGAGCGGGATCAAATAGCCACAAATAGTTTTCATCCAATTCCATAGGAGGGTGATTGAATTCCTTGTTTCTTTAATTTGTCCAATGATTTTATTTTAAATAAACGAAGGATTACATCCCATGAATTAACTGCAACAACTGGAATGTCATTAAACAAAGTCCTGCCTGCTGCCCCAGGGAGGGTGTGGTCAATGAATTTAGTCCTCGCCAGCTGGCAATGCATCTTCTAACCGTTTGATGAATTTGAGGCGAATTTCTGTTATACTATCACCCTTCAGTTGGTCTTGAACAATTCGGACGTCCACGTCCATCTGCACCTGATGAGAGAGAGAGAAAAAAAAAGAAGTGTAGCAATTAATTGGTGGAAAAAAAAAATACCAAAATTCCAAGAATTGTTTTGACAACCAGTTTCATTCCTACATTCATTCACCCTTTTTCTTCGTGTTTCTGTCTTGGAATGTCCATGAAGAGTATTCCTTAACTTGCACCACTGTCAGCAACATACAATATGTCCCATGATGTTTAATTGTATACACAAGGAACTGTTAGATATTTAAAAAATAATGTCTGTTGTGTTCTTGGAGGTCATAGGGTGGGTGCATAAAATCATCAGTCAAGCTGCATGTGACCTGTGAGCCGTAGTTTGCCCAGACCTGGTTTAGCCAGGAAGGACTGACTTTTCAGTCTGTTCTTGAGAATTGTTATCAGAGTGTTAGTTTAATGCCAAAAATTAATTAAAAAAATATTGTAGACTTCTCTCATAATATAGAAAGCAACAACAAGTAAATAAGACAAAATAATACAAAGAAAAATAAGAAATTCAGTTATGAAAGCCGGGTACGTTGCATGAATAAGGGGAGATAACTATTCAATTCCTAAAAGATATTGAACTTGAAAAATGTCGCATACTCTTAATTATTCATTACAAAGCTCCGCTTTTGCAGACGATTTCTTTCTTTTTTGTTTTTGATCATTTCACCTCAAGCAAGGGGGGGGGCGTTACTGAGTTAAATAATATGAGGAAAAGAGAACAGTAAAAGAACAGGAAGAGAGAAGATGGCGATCGATATTGCATTTAAATTTTTGAAGATCAAAGTTGCCTGAAAAGCAAGAGGCCAGAAGAGAGTTCTGCAAGTGGAAAGTGCGAGAGAAGGAATTGTTAGCATAGAACTTACGGCTACATGTAGCCTTTTCAGATGTGAAATGATGAAATCTCACTGCCAATCTTGAACTGCACTTAAATTCATAAACTACCAGACAGAAAAGTTCATCAGAAAAACTCTTAAGTAAAGCACTAAATACACACACAACGAAAATACATATATATGGATCTACATGAACTTTTATGTAGTGGATAGTGAGTTTGAACCTTACCAGGTACTCTACACTTGTAGCCTTGTGTCAAACAAAGCTAAGCTAAGTAAAGGGGTTATTGCCCAAGCTCAGGTATAAAAGCAAAATGGAGAAAAAAAAAAATAAAAAAAAAAAATGAAATGAAATAAACACGATGCTTACCATTTCTAGGCATCCTTTGAGAGCACCACAGAGAATATTAGAATAATTCAAAGCATTATGTCCTTCTGGGAGTTCTACAAATTCTGTCAGGGGATTGTTTTCTATTAATAATGAGAACTCATCACCTGCAGGACTCCAATTGGAAACGACAGGTGTTATACCAAGATACATTTTAAAACCAGCCTGGAAAAGAAAAAGATTGTCTTGAAGGTTTTGGAAACCAAAATTCTAATCAAAAACTAACATGCAAAACATTTTCTTTCCTTTCTTTCAATCATGATATTCTTTTCATAATCACCAGAATGTATTGATTTTAATTAACAGAACACCACTATAGTGAAGGAAATAAGGTGGAAGGTCTACTTCAATTATCACTGCTAACTGATGCACTGACCTAATATTAAATTCCTTTGGTGTCTTGAAGAGACAGACTTTATTTCCCTTCTTTCTTCCATTTTTTTCCAATTTAACAATCAGTTATTTTGATTTACTGCAAAAAGGAAATAAGAGGTTCTGGCAGAGGAGGAGGAGGTGATAACAAAATCCAAGATGTCATGAATACCATAGAACTTTCAAAGAAATTTCATGATGCCACCACGAAGAAAGTTGGTAATTTTGTACACTTACACTAAAATATCTTTGCAGTATTCTTCTGTCCAATGTGCTTGTTATGGAGGTATAACTCATGCAACTGGGGTACTTGGAACAACCTTTTAAGCAAATAAACTTATACTCTGGGTACATACCAAGTAAGGTACTAAATCCATGGCTTGTGGGAGGTGTCAGTTTGGTTATGAAATTTCACTAAGTATCCATGTACTAAAGTGCTGGTACCAAATGGTGTTTGGTCTATTCTGACTTAGTACCAATTTCCTGGAACCTGCTTAAAATGTATTTTGATAAAGTTCTTGGATTAAGGATTGATTTGTATTTTTATGGCTTATCAACCCTTTGCAGGTTATTTAAATCTGAAACATTTTTTTTTAAGAATAAGTATTTTTGAAATTTGTTTTTTTACATTAACATATTTTTGAGGAAAATGATTTTTCTAGATACATGTTCTACTATTTAACACACAGCTGGGGGGATGAATTCATACTTTTCCCAAGGGTGTTTGTGTGTTAGTAAATTTAATGAAGTCGTCTGGAACTTGAACTATTTTGGATCCGAGAAGTCCCATCATAAGTATGTGGCACAAGGCAAAAGTGATGAGTACCTATTTACCTTTTTCACAGGTATACATTGTATGCTCATCCAAGTAATTTTTTGTGTTTTGTAACCAGAAAATGCAGAACTTGTATTTCAAATGAGATTTTCAATTTTGTTTCTTTTTTTAAAAATTCAAAAGTACAAAGTTACATAAAGACTGTTCCAGAAAGATTAATTAATATGGAAGAATAGATTTAAGATTGTAGAAGATTTTAATGCATGAAAATATGTCTCACTTTTTTTGCCATTAGTGGACAAAATGTATGTATATTGTTGTGGTTAGAACGTGTCCTGAACGCTGCTTAAAACATACAATTCTCTCTCTCTCACAGTATGGCACTTGGTATCATGTCACCTTTCTTTTCACCCACCCACTCAAGAAAAACTTGCCTTTTGAATTTGACTATTTATATTAAATCTATTTTTATTTTGAGTGACAAACAATAATTAAAAACATGGCAAATTTTGGTATTTTCGTACACACATACCAAAATAAGAGTGAAATTTTAATAAACACTACCACAGTACTAACTCTCCTGTTTTTGATTTTAGTCCACCCACCACTGGCTTTGGTGCACCCAGATATCAACAGAGAAACTTGCATTTATTATAGGGTATGTACCTGTGAGTTAGAATTAAAAAATGTCTAGATCAAGAATTCCATCTCTTTTTGTCAAGAAGATGTTCTGTTTGAAGATGAAACCATATGAGATTATTAAACATATCAGCAAGAAGATCTGCCCTTCACAGATTGAAAAGAACTAGTTACATTTTACTTTCTATTTTATGAAGATGAACATGGGGAAAATATTCTGAACTTACTTTGGATATCACATCCGCTGTTTCTCGGAAATCATGGCATCTTCCTACATTGGATCTGGCTAAGAAATCTTCAATGAGTCGTATTCCCATATTGTAGCCCCTGACACAGGAAAAAAAAAAATACAACTATCAATTATGAAGAAACAGACAAATATACAGGTTGTGATGGATAAATTGTCGACTAAATTATGTAAAAATGAAAATAACACTAACATCTCATTTTTACAGATATATTTACCAAAATTGCGCAGAAATATCTTGAAATATTAAACAATAAATTTATTCAATAAAATAGTCATAGGCTTCAATAATGGCTTCCAGATGACTTTGGAATATCCTGTAACTCTTCTGAATGGTCTCCTTGTTTAAGTTGGTGAATGTTGCCATAATCTTTGCCTTCAGTTCATCTGTGGTGTTATAAGAATTTTTTTTTGGCCTCTTATTCAGTTTTGCCCCACAGTTAATCAAGGGGGTTTAAGTCTGGGGAGTTAGGTGGCCAGATGTAAGGGGTTATGTGGTTGTAGAAATTGTCTGACAGTCGTGACTGGGTTCTCCTGCTTGTATGGCATAGTGCAGAGTCCTGTTGCCAGCTACTCCCTTGACCCACGGTAGCCCTAGCTCCCCAAGGCACTTGATATAGGTCTCCATGTTGAGTCTGGGGCCCTGTGGGAAGATGAATGGAGGTATAATGTCACCATTACTAGTGATCATTCCAAACACGTTTGTAATCACCATTAGGCTCATCCCACTCCTTAATCCTCCCCACTGTCTTCCGGTGTGAATGCCAAGCAGTATAGCATGCTGTTTCCAAATTTCTGGTGGAATGAATCGAGTCATGGTGCTCTTTTTCTCAGATGGTGCCCAACTGACCCTACAATAATGGGCAGTTGATAAAATTAAAAACAAACAACACACTTGTGAAATTAAGAATATAAAATGGTGACAACTTACTTACACACTGTACATGTGTATGTATATGTGCATATATATATATATATACACACACACACACACACAGTTGAATTATCCTCAAGCTTTTTTATGCACAACACGATGTGGCTGAAAATCTCTCTTACCACTGGGCACTGCTTTCCTCCAGAATGAATGATCTACAGCTTGGTTTTCCTGGTTGTTTTGTATGACGTTTACCCTATTCAGTGCCTTCTTGATGCGATGTTTATACCTCAATTTTTCAACCTGTGCACTGTCCACCACCCCCAACCAATTCACTTGTACAGAAACTTCCCATTTTCCTTTATCTTGACCATTTCATCATAACTGGTGCTAAAGTATCAGATTCTATAAGGGTAGACTGACTGTGTTTGAGGATATCAATGTCATTCATGTAAATTTGCCATCAGATATCCAATATATAGTGGAGGCACTGCACCCATATCATTGTGTCTCGATTCTACATGTCACTTCATTTATCTTGTTTAATCTGTCCTGGGTTTGACGTTATACATCCAACAGCAAGGCCCCTGATCAGGAGGTCTTGAGAAGCATGGAACCACCTCTTAATTGCTGATGTTCCCTGGTCCACCCTGACTCATGGGTGGTAGGACTTGTTATGGTCCTAACAAATAGTTAATCCCAAAAGGAGTCAAAACACTATGAAAATATAAAAATAGATTTTAATATCAGCAATACATTTTTGAAAAAAAATACCAGCAATAAATTTTTGAAGGAAAAAATTATTACCAGCAATACATTTTTGAAAAAAAATTACTGGCAATAAAAATCTTGTTGGCATTAAATGATCAATTGAGGTTGATACAAAAAAAACAAACCAAACCAAACCATTTATCTTGTTTAATAAGGTAGGGTTATTTAAGGGTTTTAAAATAATCAATTTTTCAACAAGACATAAATTACATCTATTGCCTTTCCCATTGTAAGATTTGTCTATATGATGGTTCTGTATAGGATACAGGTTCAATTCCTGTCAGAGGACGAATATTTTCTATGAAAATTTCTCGGATATTCAAGTTGGTAAATATTATTAATACTGTTTATTATAAACAGAGCATTTACTTAAATATTTGTATCTATAAAAAGAATGTATAAACATAAAAATATCTTAAAATAATTGTCGGACTTTGTCCATTTCATTATATATATATATACATATATACTTTTGGCCTTGTGTCACATTCGAGCTACACTTGGAAAATCGGTACATATATATATATATATATATATATATATATATGCACATTTCATTTAATACAACAGACAAGATGCTTTTATTTAGTTTTTTATACAATTACTCATGTGATCTAAAGAAAAAATTATTAGATCGCATGAGAAATATAAAAAACTAAATAAAAGCGCCTTGTCTGTCGTATTCAGTGAAATGTGCATGAAAGAAGGCTTGCTTCCTAAATACACAAATATATATATATATATATATATAAAACATTGAAGTCAACACTCAGAGGTGACAGACTGTTTCATGCTAAGCACAATCATCAGGACCTGATGATTGCGTTTAGCATAAAACAGTCTGCCATCTGTGAGTGTTGATTTCAAAGTTCACTTTGAGATGCAGCAATATTATTGGTTGTGATTTGGCATCTCAGCTTCAGTCACTTTTCTAACACCATAAAGCTGCAGGAGAAATTAAATTTTTTTAACATTAAGATTTTAGGGCTAGGCATCAGAAGTGTGCAGCCAGACCCCCTTCTGCATAAAGACAGTTCTATCCAAATAAAAAGGCAATAGGTTGTAAACTTACATTTTCTCTAATTGTCGGTTGACATCTTCATCATTTTCGTAATCTTTCACCAACTGGGCAACTAATGCACCATAAGTAAGAGTAAATAATTCACCATTCTGTGAAAAAATAAAAAATAAATAAAATAAAAATGACACATATGTAACTGCTAAGAGAATATAAAATCTGGAGTAATTATTGGATTCTATTTAAAAGCATTCAGAATTTGTAGCCCTAGATATTTACAGGGTGCGATGGATAAATTGTCATCTAAATGACACAAAAATTAAAATAACATTGACATCTCATTTTAACATATATTTACCAAAATTACAAAAAATATCTTGAAATACTAAAGAGTAAACTTATTCAATAAAATCGCCATTGACTTCAACCATAGACTCCAGATGATTTTGGAATTTCTTGCAATTCTTTTGGATGGCCTCCTTGTGAATTCTGTCATAATCTTTGCCTTCAGTTCATTTTTGGTGTTACAAGGAGTTTTGTTAGTCTCTTGCTCAACTGCACCCCCACATGTAATAATAAAGGGGGTTAGAGTTTTGGGAGTTAGGTGGCCAGAAATAATGGGTGATGTGGTCACATGAAATTGTCTGACAGCCATGACTGGGTTCTCATGCTAGCCACTCTCTTGATCCAAGACAGCACTACCTCCTCAAGGCACTTGATGTAGGCATACATGTTGAGTCTAAGAGCCCTCACCAACAAATTTGGGAGTTCTTTTCTTATGAGAACAATCAGAGTAAGTTTTCTGAGCTGCTGTACCAAACTGAGGTTAAAATACTATGAAAGTGTAAAAATAGGTTTTAATACCCAAAATACTTTGTAAAAAAAAAAAAAAAAAAAAAAATACCAGCAATACATTTTCAGAAAAAAATATTACCAGCGCCACATATTTGAAGGAAAATTATTACCAGAAATAGATTTTTGAAGAAAAAAATATCACCAACAAAAAAAATTTTGTCAGCATTAAACAACCCATTGAGGTTGATATACCGTAAAAAAACCCAAAAAACAAAACAAACATTTTATTTGCAGTTGAAGGCATACAAAATATATTTAGTTGAAGCCATAAAATTGTTCCAAAATATTTAGGTTTTGGGATTAAATAACTCATAGAGGTTGATAGGCCACTAAACAAAATCAACCAATCAGCATCTTAGTAGTGTTAGCAGTTTATTTGGAGTGAATATTAAAAAAAAAAAAAAAAAAAAAAAAATGTAACAAAAACTCCACTGCTAACGTCAGAGTAGCTCAGACAATTGAAACTGAATAATGAGAAACTAAAAGAAAACCTTACAATTTGCCTGGGGAAGTTGAAAATAATATTACCTCAAGCTCCAGCGAGCTGTCTCCTCATGGAGTACCTCACCTTCAGGAGGGAGCTGGAGCCTGAAGTGCCCCCAATAAAGAGAAGTGATGAGGGAGATTGAGCAATTTTTCAATGGTATTGCCAGTAAATCCACATTAAACTGACCTTAGGTCACAATTGATTGCAATGTGTGCACACTGATAAATAGCTTAAACAAAAAGAGTTACAAAATATTTTATACTGTATTTGAGAATTTGAGAGGAGGCATGGTGGAGTAATGGATAGTGGCTCGGATTGAGGAATCGGAGAGCCGAGTTCAAATTCAGTTGAATCCATTACATTTACTTACATGCTAATACCCTTGGGGAAGGTATGAATCCTCCTCTTCTCCCGCCAACTATGGGTAAATGGCAGGACAGACCAGGTTCTATAGCCTTGGATGGCAACTGGTCTACTGCAGAAAGAAATGGCAACCTACTGCAGGAAAAAATCTGCCTTGTCAGTCATGTATCAAAAGATACATGATTGCCTAAGCATGTATCACGGCTGACACATAACTGACTGATTTGAAAATTCTAGCAATTAAAATGTCTTTTTCTATTTAAAAAAGTTTTAAGCAACCTGAGTACAAATTCTTGTGCAAAAATTAAGCTGGAATACAGGGGTCTAATCCTAATTTTCTTATTAAAAAACAAAAATAAAACAAATACATAAACATTGATAAAATAAAAAATAATTTGTAATGACCTGAGTGGGAATCCTTATGTGCCAAGAGCAATTATAGTTCTTCCAAACTTCCTGTCTTTAATGGAAAATAAATATGGCAAAGTGGAAAAGTATCTGTCTATATTTCTGAGTTGAGGCATTATGTACTTTATTTACATTATTCGGACTATTGTCTTCATCTTTGTCACCATATTTATTACAATGTTTCAGCCGTTTTATGTTCTGGCCTTCTTCAGGTAGTTGTAATGTCGAACTGAACCCTCTAGTTCCATGTGCCATGTTTAATGGATGTCAGTTATCAGTTATGTCCTATTAATTTCCCTTTGAAAGTTTTCCACTGCCATAGCCCGGTATTGAACTCACACTCTTTGGGTCATGTCACTGGATCTAACTAACGCCTTTAAGGACACATGGCACAGCGGATAAAGGTGTTAGTTAGATTTCATTGAAAACTGTGGAAACACATAAACAACATCCGATCACACACATTTTGAGAATTATAGATATAGATATATCATTTTACCTTAGCTCTAAGTAAATCTTGTCTCTTTGTTAACCTTCTTCATTTCTGTTCTATTCACTCAAACTTGTTAAATGGCAGACTCCTGCTGCTTTTGCCTCCAATATATCCTGTGAGTATTAAATTCTTTAGGCCTTCTTTCCTCATGTGTACTAGAATTTTCAACTATCACTTTCTGAATATGGGTATAATTTTCCTTGTTGTTTCTTAAGACTTCCTGGTTGCTCAAATGTTTTGTCCATGGTATTCTTAGCTTTTGTTGGTAGAATGACATCTTTGTCACTTAGTTTTCTTTGTTACCAGGGCTGTTTCGACTTGAAGCTAAGTCATCTTCTGCATGTTTGCTCGTTTTCAAGTGCATGCTCAAACCCATTTTCGTTTCTTCATCAGTCACAGATCTAACATGTGGTTTTTACTGCAACTATGCCGAGCAGAACTTTGAGTTTAAGTATGTGCTCCACCTGTTTTCTTTCTCTTATACTGGTTGCCAACCACGGCTAGAGAGTCCAGTCCACCCTGCTATTTAACCCATAGCTAGGGAGTTTTCATCTCTGTGGAAATTGTCCAGCAATTTAAAGCTATATAGCAGTTTAGAACCTTTTTCTTTTGTTTTGAACGGATAAAAATAGCTTCCCTGTTCATTTTCTGAATATACTTTCGTAAATCAACAATTTCTACGTTGTGGAGTACAGTCGGTTTTAGAATTTCAAACAGCTTTTTACATACTATACACTTGCTTATCTCCCTTACATCAGCTGGGATTTATTGAACGAGACTCATATTCGAGAATGCATTCGAAATAAAATTGAAATGCAATTAAATTTATTTAAATTATATTTCAATAAGTAATAAATAATTATAATAAAAAGTTGAAATATTAATGAATGACTTCCCAAATGAGGAAGGGAGACGTTCGACCTTTTTTTTTCTTTATTTTTGTTTATCAAATTCTGAGAGTTAATTCAATTGGTAATGTAAATTTCAATTTTTACTTACAGAAACATAGCTGGAATGAATTATATTACAAAAATTACATTTATTTCAAACTGTATTTTTCGTTTTATTTGAAATGCATGACATTGTCATGAGATTTCAATTTAAAACTCAGAATATGAAACTAGTAAATAAATTAGTGTTTACACATTCATTTGAAGCGCCGAACTTCACAATATAAATTTTTATTAGGAATTAGTTTTTTTTTAAGATTAAAAACAAGAATAGAAAATGAAAGTTTCTTACCACTAAAAGAAATTAAAATGAAAAAAAGTTTTAAATTTGATTCTTCCTTGATACATGTCATGTAAAGTTAAAATAAAGAAGAATAATTTACCTAATTAATTATGATCAAGGACTTATTTTTCAATACAAGAATTGAACATAGAAAAACAATGACAATGTTTATTACCGACCATCAGCAGGTCATGATTGATAAATCGGACATTAAATATAAATTTATCCAAGGCTGACATAAACTTACCACTTTACGGGGATCCCCTGCTCTGTTACTTTGTCGGGACATATCTTGCAATACGGTTTAGACGACGTAATTTTTTTTAATAACAAATTTACAAAATAATTTTGTTTTTCTTTCGTTTCCGCTTCTTCAGTGTCCACCTCTTTGCGTAGGTAAGGATTAAACAAGAAATAGAAAACAATTTTTGATTCGTTAACAGCTTCCACTAGAATCCAAATTAACCAATCAAAAGACAGTTTTCATATCGACTGAACGGAAGTCTGTCTACCGGAAGTCCACGGACACATGGAAGAACTAAGATGGCGTGTAGTGTATTGGATGTGTATTGAAGTGACAATATAACAATGACGAATTACAAGGAAGAACAAAAAGATGAAATTGAAGCCTTGGAGGCAATTTATCCAAATGAAATAAAAGGTAAATACTTTTCTTTGGAAAGTGATTGAGTGTAATGCCTTTTATTTTTTAAAATGATTAATAGCTTTGGGAGATTTGTCACTATGGAATCTAAAAAGAAAAGAAAAAAAAAACAGTGGATAAAATCGCAGTCTCTTATCCCCAAAAAATGGACAAATTCCCAGTCTCATATAAGATTAATTAATAACATTGGGTGTAAAGGATATTCGCCCGTTAGAATAGTCATGCATTCGTTTGTTGAAATGACCATTTATAATTACGTACAATAAATGATGGAGCATAAATTTGTGAACATGAAATAAGTGATTGGATTGTGTTTTTTGTTTATTGTCTCAATTTGACATTGCAGTGTGTACATAATTGTATATTATTGGGGTATTATTGTCTTAATTTGACATTAAAATTTGAATGATTTAAGTTTCATTGAATTTTCAATTTTAGATAAAAATGAAATTTCTTTTTAATTTTTATTTTCTATATATGAGACCTATTTATTTATGAAGCTGGGATTTTGTTCATTTTTGCGATAATAATAGGCTGGGTTTTTGTCCGCTGAAATTTTGTCCATTGTTTACCGTCATTAACTAAAAAGTTAAAACATACCCACGTATACAGTCCTTAATCTTCTTAGTTCTTGAGTCTTATTGGATTTGATCGTGTCATGATGAACTAAGTAATTTTTATTTTCAACTGGGAAGATTTTAATTTAAAATGAATCGTATATAACTGGTTTATGCTATTTGATTGTCCAAATTCAGTGCTGACAAATGAAGGAAAAAGAACCAACTAAAAAATAAATTTTTGGGTTAGAAGGGAGATTATTGCGTAATTTTAATTTATACAAGAAAAAGAAAATCAACGAATAAGTAACGTTTGGTTTTGGTTTTAATTCCTTCTCTTAAGTTTTTGATTTATTTTTATCTTTGCGTGTTTTTTGTTTTATATCTCAATTCTTATAATGATGGAAAATATCGTACCATATTCCATTTCGAACGACGACAGCTGTTCTTAAATTTAGCTGAAAATAAGTAACCTCTCTTACACTGCATTTCATATGGTATTCTTACAAATTGTCCAATTGGTTCTTTGTGTACAATAATATCATGTATGATCAGGGCCAAATTATAACCTATTTGAAAGTATAGAAAAGGCACAAGGAAACTATGTTGTGACGATTTGAAAGTGACTGAAGCCAAGATGCCAGGTCAGAACCAATAACATTGCAGATTCTCCATTGGATTTTATTAAGAATTTCTAAATATATAACAGAAGCACCAGAACAATTGTGCCAATAATATTCAAAGCAAGGTGTCAGAATTATTTCACTGACGAGTAAGGGAGGGGGGAAAGGAAAAACAGTTTCAAAGCTTACAATGAAAAGTCTGACGTTTCTTACAAGCGAAGTCTTTCTTGTAACGGTAACAAAAGTCAAATGACTGGTAACACTCGGCACTCTTCTCTTCGTAACAAGCAAGCTCTACAAAGGTTCTGTAGAGAAAAAGAAACTGAATTTGCGACTGAAAGTAGCACCTTTTAAACTCTCAAGGTCTCGTTCAACACCATACGACGAGACCAGAGCGTCTATAAAAATCTTCAATCCTTTGGCCCTAGTTCGGTCCGGGAGAAAGTCATTATTGTTCAAGACAACTTTCATTTTGTGATTTGATAATAAAGACTGAATCATTTAAAAAAAATTTGTCCTTTCAACTTGTGAAGAAGACCAGCATGCCAAACTCTGTCAAGTGCCTTCGAGATATCCAAAGCAACAGCCTGAGCTTCACTATTATGTAAAGCTTGATAGACTTTCAGCAATAATCATGAATAGATCAGCAGTTGACCTAGAGAAGCGAAAGCTATATTGCTTATCTGAAAGAAGACCCTGTGAGGTGTGATGCTTCACCAATTCAGAGTTAATCAGAGCCTCTAGTATTTTGCCAAAAAGAGGTAGAAGGCTAACAGGCTTATAGAAAGATCAGATAATTTGCCTGGTTTCTTAAAGATTGTAACTACAAAAGAGGATTTCCAAGAAGCAGAAAGGCATTAATTACATAGTTTAGCGAGAACAGGAGCCATTTTAAGGGAACATTACTTAAGGACTATTGCAGGGATACCATCAAGTCTACATGCTTTGTGGGGATCCAGTTTAGAAATGATAGCAGAGCTATATGCATGTCACTCAATAGAGACTTGGTTCTAAGTGAAAAGTCATGCAAAGATACTCCAGATGAGTCAGAAGTAAAATTTAAAGAGATATTTACTAGCAAAACAATCTGTTTTATCAGCAGATGATGTTAACACATAAAATTGAGTGAAGAGAAGAGTAATAGAAGACTTAGTCTTATTTAACACACTCTTACAGAGCTGCCAGTAGTCATGTGAATCAAAATTGTTAGATGCTATACAGTGCTTCATTCTATCAGCAATGATATTTAAAAATTTATAAGTTATAACATCTAGAAAATTAAAATCATTCAGGTGTCCCTAGGCTGCAGCCTAATGGATAACCAGGCCCTGGGTGTGATGCTTTCACTAGTAGAAGATATAGAATTACACCAATCGATTAATTGGTAATTTTTTACTATCTTATAAGTCTACCATTTGTCCTTGCTTTGAATATTGCTGACACATCTGTTCTGGTGCTCCTGCTATATAATTAGAGATTCTTGGTGAAATCCAAAGAAGAAGACTTTGAAATGTTTTTGGTTGTGACCTGGCATCTTGGCTTCAGTCATTTTCCCACCACCATAATGTAGCTTGTTTGTGACTTTTGTTATAAATACTTTCATGGTAAATTGTTCTGATGAACTTTCTTTTATGGCACCTAGACTTTATGAATTTAAGTAATAGTATTAGATTGGCAACAAGGTCACATCATTTTACAGTTAAAATGGCTGCTAGATGCAACTCTAGTTCTATGCTAATAGTTTCTTTAATTGCACTTCTTTCTTTCCATTCAAGTTGGGCCTTCAAAATTTTAAATGTCATGGCAATCATTATATTCTGTCTTCTTGATTCCTATTCTTTTATTGTTCTTTCTCCTTAATAGGATTTTTCTTTTTCTCATATTCTTTCGCACTCTGTAATCCCATGCATCTCAGTGGCTTTATTGCTTTGCTTGGGGGTGAAATGATTTTTCCTTGGTATTTCTTGCTTGATTCTTAATAAGTACAATATAGAAATTTATGCCTTATAATTGTAGAGTTTTGATATCCCTATGATATCAACTTTATATGTGGAACAGCATAAGTTGCCACTTGACTGTGTTTTAGAATTTGTATTTTCATGTGCTGTAGCATGACCGTTATCAGTGTGGAAAGTGTAATTGGTGTCCTGGGTTCAAATTCCAGTCTAGATTTTTACTTTCACTACTACATTAGACTGGGTTTTCTAGCCTTGGTTGGCCACCAGTCTAAGAAGGAAAACTCTGAAATCCAAACTGTAGAGAAGTCAATGGGAAACTACTCCACAAGCAGTTATGTCAATCCATGGATAATAAAGAAAAGGAATTCATGGACAGCTATAGACACCTATATCTTGATGGGACATGACAGTAGAAAAAAAAATTCTTGTTTTTGACCTTGTGCCTGATAATGGGAATTTTTTTCCTGATTCCCCCCCCCCACATATTGAGAAAGGAGGCAATCTTTAACTTGCCCACAAAAAAAAAAAATAAACTGTATCAAAAGGACGGTTTTCCCTTTGACAATGTTATTATTTTAACTTGTTTCAGTCCTTGACAATATTTGTTTTAAAAAGTAATGATTAGAATTTGAATAAAACCTAAGCTTATGAAAGGGAGTTTATACATTTTCTTTGTTCTTGAGAATTGAAAATAAAAATAATAAATGTTATTTTATTTATTTATTGCATTGTTTATTAGAATGGTTGGCAAATATCATCTAATTGCCAATCAATTCAAACTTTATAAGATGGTAAATAAGTAATTCTTTTTTGTTGTTTCACATATTTTAATAATTTAGTAAATATTTATAAATAAAAAAATTGTTCTCATTTATTTCTTTATAAAATGGTGAATGATAAATATTGTATAAGTTTTTACAATATAATTATAAAATTATTTTTGTAAATAAACAATATAGTGTTTATTTTTGTAAATTCTCGAGAACAAAAAAAATGTCTAAATTCACTTTCATCAGATGTTTAGGTTTTATTACAATTCTAATCATTGTTTTTGAAAACAGTAAAAATTGCCAAGTAGTGAAGGCAATTAAAATAATAGCAGTGTCAAGGGAAAAACCGTCCTTTTGACAATCCTGTTTTTTTTTTTTTAGTAATGAAGGTTAAAAAGTGCCAAGAAAAGATCTAACCTCAGCCCAATTAAGATACATCCAATGTATTGAGGCACTTAAGGTGATAGCTTAACCCTTCAAAATATATAACACTTACCTCCATTTCTGCATGAAGTATGTCTTGGACTTTCTCTCTTGAAAGTCAATGTGCCGCACTAAATGTTTTTGCTCTCTTCTACAGTGTTGGAAACAGATCCTAACTATGTGTTTGTGATTGAAGTTGCTCCCCAAGGAATGGAAGAGACGGATGAACTTGGTAAGACTCTATTGTCCTCTCTTATTTTTACCTCTTGGTATTTCTAGCTCCATTTATTTATTCATGTGTCTGCGTTATGCACCAAGTGCAGAACTTTTGTTGAAAAGAGAGTAAATTTATTCTTGTTTAAAAATTATGCTAATGATTCAAATAACCTTCTTTTGCATTAATTCCTAACCATTGACAATCTCTTACGTCCTGATTTGCATACCCATCTGGGGTAATCCTGGTTTTCACTGCCAGAGTAAGAAGACCTAGCACAAAGAAGATTCTTGCAAGATCTCTTATCAGCTGCTCAAGGACAGTTGTTGCTATCATTACTCTTTATGAATCGTCATTTGTCAAAGATTTCTTGATACTCTTTATTTTGTTGTATGAATTCCTCTATTGATTTTATTTATTTTTTCTCTTTTGCTTTGCAGCAATGGTTACCATTCAGTTTTCACTTGATGATACTTACCCAGATACAATACCAGTGATGGAAATAACAGAGTCTGTGTATTTAGATGATGCAAAGTTAGACGAAATCTTGGAACACATGAACACTGTAGTAAGTACAATCGATATCTATGTTTAATGTTGAACAAGAAGAAAAAGATATTGCAATTGACAGTAAAGACGTTTCCCTCCAAAGCCCTGATTGCACCTTTTATAAAAGATTAAATTCCGTTGTTAGTCAGTGTTTGACATGAAATGACGTCTGAATCTGGCAGGCTCGTGTTGAGAATTTGCTCGTTTTACAGTTGAAATTGCTAGATGTACTTCTTATTGGTACTCAGACATTTGGCTGAGGGACATTTCACCGAACGGACATTTGGCTGATGGACATTTAGTCGAAAATGTAGTGGCGTACTTACTTGTATGTCATACTCTTTATCGTATTGTGCTAGATATATTTATATTTATTTACTGTATTAATTAAAATTTTTTTTTTTTTTTTTTTTTTTTGACACACTTTTTTTAAATCTATTCTGTATATATTATATTTTACTTCAAACATTACTGTAAGATAAGAAGTATTTTGAGAAAAAGCACATTTTACTAAAGCAAAAATCGTAAGCTTTTACGATATGAAAGATATTTCAATTTCGCTTTTCATGATCATTATCTTAAAGGGATGATCTAGCTTTTATCTTACTGTTAAATACGAATCTAAATAATTAGGTGCTACTTTTTACCCAAATATATTCAAATATTTTTAAAAACACTAATTTCGATAAACAAATATTGTTAATAAGAAAACTTTTAAATTTTGATTTAGTAATTTAATCACTTGAAATTCAATGGTAATTATTAGTCCTATTCTACCTTATAATACTGTTAATTAAAATACTTAAAATACTTGTTACTATTTTTACTTGTACTTTTTTGGTGAAATGTCCATTCGCTTAAATGTTTGGCTACGCTTCTTGTTTGTGGAACTCTCTTCTGGCCTCTTGCTATTCTCTCAACTTTGATCTTCCAAAATTTAAATGCAATCATGATCTTTTGTCTTAATTCCTGTTCTTAAAATTTTAAACATTCTTAATTTAATCTCTTAATGTATTTGATCGAAGGCAATGCCAATCCAGCACCTTACAATTTTTATAATCATTTTCCTAATTAACGTACATTGGAACCTCGGTTCATGAATTTAATTTGTTCCTGAAATCCATTCATAACCCAAAATGTTTGTAAACCAAAACTATTTTTCCAATAGAAATCAATGTAGAGAAAAAAAAAAAAAAGTCACAGTATAATAAAATTGAAAAAAAGGTACAACACAACACATGAATGTATACAACATGACGGTCGACTCAGAAATTATTCCGTTCAGGTTAACCTTGTTCGGCAATGTTGTTTGAGAACCAAAATTTTGTTCGATAACTGAGGCATTTTCAACTCTAATTTTCTGTTCAAAAACCGATTTGTTCAACATGTGTGATGTTTGAGCTTGTACTGTATTTGATCGAAGGCAATACCAGTTCAATACCTTACAATTTTTATCGTCATTTCCCTAATTAACATATTTGTTCGAAGACAATGCTAATTCGATATCTTAAAACTTTTAATGTCTTAACATAGTAGAGAAGCACATCTGATGAAGGCTGTAGGGTACAACAGCCGAAACGTTGTGATAGCTCAAAGATGATGTTCTGACAATATATAATGTGAATAATCCAGTAAAAGACATAATCGACACTCTCCAACCAGATCTCTAGCCATCTTAAGCTAGTCTTGGTTATGGCTCACAGTTATACTTATTTATAAGGTCACATGATTTCTCATTGAAAACCTTGTGATGTTTTGATAAGCTGTGTTAAGTTTATTTCTGGAAAGGAAAAGTCTGCCTACTGCCACTCGACAAACCAGAAAAATTATTAAAAATAAGCAATTATTGGCATTGTTTAACCTTTGTACCCTCAAAAAACGGTATGTCAAAAGATGATTTTTTTCTTCACACTACTATTACTGTATACTTCAACTACTTTGAGACTCATGGGGTTGGTGTACTAGTAAAATAACTTATCTAAACTCAACTATCATCCTAGTTATGTCGATAAACTACATCTGACAGCAAGGCTTCTGATTAGGAGTGTGCAACCACCTCTTAATTGCTGCTGTTCCCATATCCAACCTGTTGGGTCCCAGCTATGGGCAAATAGTTAACCCCTAAACTGGGGTCAAAACACTATGAAAGTGTAAAAATAGGTTTTAATACCAGCAATACATTTTTGTAAAAAACTTATTACCAGCAATACATTTTTGAAGGAAAAATATTGCCAGCAATACATTTTGGAAAACATTATCAGCAATAAAAAATTTGTTGGTATTAAACATAACTCATTGAGGTTGATATCCCATAAACCAAACCAAACCTAAAATCAACTACCTCAGCAATGTTTATTGTTTTAAAAAGCTATGTTCACGATTTTAATTACAACAAAGATTTTACACACTGTTTAGTTTTTAGATTGTTTATTTGCAAGATGATAAAATGTGTAAACCAAGTACAATACAATATTTATGAATTACCTTTTATAAACATTTATTGTTTATCATATTCTAAAGAAATAAATATGGAAACATCTTTATATTTAAAAATTTACAAAAATTATAAAAATATGTGAACTAATATAATATTCTTTACCATTCTATAAAGAAAGAAATATGAAAATTTATTTCTTCATAAATTTATAAAACTGTCTAAACTATAGAACAAAAAAATATAAACAAAAGTATGATAATTTTTTTTTCCAGACATACATTTTTTTTCTCATTTTATTATGTATCTTAGAATATGTCTTGTTTTGCTTTTATAATTGCTAATACCTGAAACTCCAGCAATTATAGATCCCTATTTTTTTTTTTTTTTAATTTTTATATTGTTGCTAATTTTTCTAAACATTTTCATGATGCATACCTAGAAAATCTGCAGATTGTCAGCCAGATGATGACTGATGAAGAATGAGCATTAAGTACCTTGACCAAAGTAATTGGCAAAGCCTGGGAATTATCTACCTTGTAAGGATTAGCAAAACAATGGCTAAAACCCAATCAATTCTTCGAATATTCACATTTTTATAATCTTGTAAATAAACAATGTAACAACAAAATAGTGTTTATTTTAATTATAAAACGCCAGATTGTGTGTGTCCCTAACGTTTATATATTGATTGGATTTCTTTTTCAATTTCAACAAAACTTCACCTTGTGGTGGTTCTAATAGTGCCAAAATGGGAAAAATATAATTGTTTTTGCACAAAATCAAAAAAAACACGATTAAGAGACATCGTGAAAATGGAAGGGGACAACTCACAATTGTTTGTGTGTGTGTGTTCCTTTAAATATGGGAGCGGATTTCCTATATTTTTCAATAAAACAAAACTTTGCTAGTTGTTATTAAAATTTAAACATGGCCTTTTAAAATAATAAACATTGATGAGGGAATCAAGGGAGGATACAGTTTTTTTTTTTTTTTTTATTGTGATGCAGTATTTTTTTAATTATTTTTTTTGTGCGTATATAATGCCCAATTATTTTATTACAATTTTTATTTTTTCAATTTACATTTGTCAGTTAGTCATTGAATGATGAGCTTGGGTGGGGCAATTGTCAGCTTAGGCTCATTCTTTTCTTTATTGGCAATGACTGTAAAATTTTGATGGCGACAATAACTTTTTTCTTTTTGCTGACTTGGCAGGTAACCGCTGACCCTGATTCCTACTGGGAAGCTGGTAATCACTGGTTGGGCAGGCAGACTTAAGCTTAGCTTATTTCTTTGCACAACTTAAATAAGTAATTTTCATTTATGATGGCCGCAGTGATGTGCAGAGGTTTGGTTGCCCAGGGTCAACTCTTTAATTGTATGCCCCCCCTAAGACTCAAGTAGGTGAGCCTACTCCAGTTTCACTTATCAAAATGCTGATCCACATTCATGTCAGACTGTAAGGCGCTTGTACAACAAAGTTAACAGACAATTTTAAAAACTAGATTTTTATTTCACTCCTTGGTTGGGTGCCCTCATGATATGGATGCCTGGGGCTGTTGTACCCTCTGCCACCCCCTGCTTCCTGCTACTGAAGGACTGACTTCTTTAATTGGGTCTGGCGCCAAAAAAACGAGAACTAAGACATAGAATGCGAATCTCTAATGTGGGATGGGGGGTAGTATTTGTAATTTATTGCAGGTCTGTTTGTCATTTTGCATAAAATGGCTAGTTAGCTAGGATAATCTCTCACACCAGTGTTTTTTTTTTTTTTTCTTTGTCAAAGGTAACTTAGGAAATTATTTTTTGTCTGATATCAATCTGTTGTTGATTGTTACTATGATTTACACCCCATGTTTCAAGACTTGTTTTATAAATCCACCCTGCTAATTTTGTATGGAGTTTTCAAGAACACTGATTACAAAGAATTTGAAAAAAAAAAGAAAAGCTGTATGGAACATAAATTGAAAATTTAACATATTTTTAATTTTTAGGATGAAGATTTCCAGACTTCATCAGGTGTATGTTGATCTGAGCAACTTACATGGAATTTTGAACCGAACCCTTTCTTTCATCAGGGTGGGGGGTATACTGTTCTATACTTTGTTGTTTTACTGCCCCTGTCTAGGTATATCTTGTCTGGTTCTTATTTTAGTACTTCTCAGTTATTGATCACGCTGCCCGACCCAGGGATTGAACTTGCTATTACTTTGTCACCAAATTCATGAAACTGCTCTTTAATTCACTAGGCTATATTTTTAATTTAATTATTCTTATTTTTCCTCCCAGGCTCAAGAAAATGTTGGTATGGTGATGGTGTTTACAATTGTCTCTGCTGTCCAGGAGAAAATCAGTGATATTATTGAACAGACAAAATTGCAACGGGAAGAAGAGCAGTTGCGAAAACAGAAAGAACATGAAGAAAAAGAACAGGTGAGTACACAGGTAACAGAAGTGTGTGTGTGTGTGTAATCTGTCAATGATTACAGCATCTTTACAAAGGACTGCTGTTTCATTAATTGTACATTGTTGAATTGTCAACTCTTAAACAGGTTTATGGTAAGAAGCAGAAAACTATGTGTTTGATGATGGTTCATTCAAGATTTATACTCAAAAATTTAAAGAAAAAACATAATTTTCTTTGTTTATTAAAAAGCATAATTAGTTCTTATAATTAGATGTTGAAAAGAAAATGGCAACTTACCTCGTCAAACCAAGTGACAGTATGTTGCGTGTATGAAAAAGAAAGAAAGCATGCATGTAACTCTTGTTTATATATGAGAACGCCATGCAAATGTTTGGTCACACCTCAACCAATTATTGACCCCTCACCCTAGATATAAACAGGTGCTGTATGTGACCTGTGTATGGGTTCTATGCATTGTTACACTACATGAAGGAGAATTTCTTGAGATGAGCAGCTGTTGTATCGAATGTTATCCCCTCAAAATTCTACTCTAACTACTGCTTCTATTATATTATATTGTAATGTTTTCATATTTTAATATGAATAATGCAACTGATCATAAGTCCTTTAATCTTCTGTCCTGGGCATGACGATAAACTACGCCCGGCAGCAAGGCTTCTGATCAGGAGGTTGGAGGATTTGAGGAACATGGCACCACCTCTTAACTCCTGTTGTTCCTAGGTCCATCCTGGCTCAGGGTGGTAGTACCTGTTAGGGTCCCAGCTATGGGCAAATAGTGAACACCCAAACAAAAATCAACACTACATTTTTTATAATAAAATGACCAACAATACATTTTTATAGCAAAACTAGTTGGATTAATTTCTTATTTACCTACTCTCTTTTCTGTCTCCTACCGTGACATGACAGTGGATAAACATTTCTGCAAATGTGTGTTTCACAGTACTCCCCATTTTTGAAAAGGAGTAGAAATTTATCCCTTGTTTACTGTTTAGGACTGGGTTTCCAGTTCCTTCTAAAGTCTACTTCAACTCTATACGTTCTGAGTATGACAATAAACAACATCTGCTAATAAGGTCTCTAGTCGGGAGCTTGGAAGTTTTGAGGAAGAGGTGGTGATTTCACCTGACAGGCCCCAGCTATAGAAAAATAGTGAAACCAAAACAAAATCAACAGTATGTTTTTATAATAAAATAACCGACAATACATTTTATAGTAAAATAGTGATGAATGCAACACTAAAAAAAATATATAAAAAATCTATTTTTATAGTAAAATTACCAACAGTACATTTTATGATTTACAAATTACATATCTAAAAAAAAAAAAAAACATAGGTTTACTCAGAAAATATAAAATTATGTACAAAATACCTGTAGTTGAAAGCATAAAATTACATATGAAATATTTAGATTTCAGCATTAATTAACCTATAGTGTTTATATCCTGCTAAATAAAATCAATCAATCCTTCAACCATCGTTTTATTTTAAAAAGAAGTATTTTTGTGTGTGTGTGTGTGGTAGGGCTGTAACCTGACCCCTCCTCGTTGTTTGGTTACCAGACCTAACATGTGCTGAAGCTGGTTATCTAAAGCAAAGCCCTCATCCAGACATCAGATATCATAACTGTGGAGTGAGCTATGCTTTGGTACACATGACTTCTTCTCTTCACCTGGATGTCATTTAATGGATTCAGTTCATTGTGTCTATTGCAAGAAATTTATGAGCTGTGATTTTGTTTTTTTGTTTTTTTTGTTAGTCTTGGCAAGAATCTGATTGTGTCATGAAAGAAATGATGCTGTTGAAAGATTATCAACAATTTAATTCCGAATGAAATGTAAAAACCTCATACAACAGCTAATTCATTCCAATTTTTTCTTGCTAAACTTTGAGGCACTGACAGATGTATGTCCTATGAGATGTGTGAGTGGTAATGTTTTTAAGGTAATTGACTTCTATAGTGGAAGGAGGACTTCTATAGTGGAAGGAGGACTTCGGTGGCACTCTCTGAGAGTGTCTCATCTGCAAGGCACTCATTTTGATGGCTCTGGGCAACTGGCCTCTCTAATTTCTTTCTGTGCATATGTATTTCACTTATATAGACTTATATTGGCATGATTAATTAGCGTCTCGAACAAAGAACCTTGTGTTAGAAAACCCAGATGGCCAACCATAAAGTGCTTTTTGATTTGGGCCTGGATTTTTAAGTTTCCAAAATTACATAAATTATTGCAAATATGACAAATAGGTCTCTAAGTAAACAGACTCTTGAGGGACCAAAAACCTGTGGACTTTTGATAAACTCACTCGTGTCATGCCAATTCGGTGTTATGGTGTTGGGCTGTGAGTGTCAGTTATGTTGAATTATGTTGAATCTTACTAAATCATACTTTAATTTGATTTCAAACTCTTTTGAGGCCCTCCTTCTAATTATTTTATGGGTTTAAATTAATATTTTTAAAGAGGGTTTTTTATTTTTCTTTATCGGACTTCAATTTGATTAATCACTCTTCCATATTTTCTCTTCTCAATATCTTGTTTGCTCAGAATTATAAAGGTACTAACCACTTACCATTCACCAGTACAGGGGTTTCCCAACTTTTTTTTATCTCATCACCTACTTTCATATGGAAAAATTTTCCACTGCTCACCTATATAGTAAATATTCAAAAGTATACCAAAATTGTTTTGTAAAAGTTTGTTACTGGTTCATATATTGACTTTTATGATGTAGTAAAAAATACCAAAGGGAAGGAACAAAAGCAAACTTGACCATTGAAAACTCTCTCTCTCTCCCTATATATATATATATATAATTTAGTTTTAGGGGTAGCGTTATTAATTTTTTGTCAATAGAAGAAAAGGTGCAAGCAGCCCTATGACAAAGTTCAGGAAGAGGGTTAAAGGGAGATAACTGCGGATTTGAAGTCAGAATATTATCATTGATAACTCTCTCTCCTCCAAATTGTAGACCCTAGTTCAGTCTGTTATGTGCAATATGTGATACACGCTTAGGCGATCATGTATCTTTTGGTACATGACTGACAGATTTTTTCCTGCAGTAAGTTGCCATTTCTTTCTGCAGTAGACCAGTTGCCATCCATGGGCTACAGAACCCAGTCTGTCCTATTATTTACCCATAGCTGGGGGGAGAAGAAGAGGATTCATACCTTTCCCAAGGGTATTAGCATGTAAGTGAATGTAATGAATCTGACTGGAATTCGAACTTGGCTCCATTACATTCACTAGGGTATTAGTTACTATATTCATAATACTTGATATAATGCAAAAATATTGCAATGATAAAATTGGTCGATAATTATTTACAACTATTTATACTGGGACTCATGCATGCAATTACAAGTAATCCATAATTACAAACCATAATAAAGTAATCCATAATTACAAACCATAATAAAGTAATCCATAATTACAAACCATAATAAAGTAATCCATAATTACAAACCATAATAAAGTAATCCATAATTACAAACCATAATAAAGTAATCCATAATTAAAACCATAATAAAGTAATCCATAATTAAAACCATAATAAAGTAATCCATAATTACAAACCATAATAAAGTAATCCAAATTACAAAACCATAATAAAGTAATCCATAATTACAAACCATAATAAAGTAATCCATAATTACAAACCATAATAAAGTAATCCATAATTACAAAACCATAATAAAGTAATCCATAATTACAAACCATAATAAAGTAATCCATAATTACAAACCATAATAAAGTAATCCATAATTACAAACCATAATAAAGTAATCCATAATTACAAACCATAATAAAGTAATCCATAATTACAAACCATAATAAAGTAATCCATAATTACAAACCATAATAAAGTAATCCATAATTACAAGTAATCCATAATAGTATTTAAAATCCTATTTATTTTTGACATTTAAAATTTTTGAAACTGTTTATAAATCTTTGATTGTCTTTCAATAATTCCTCCTTGCTTGCTATTGTCTTCTGCTTCACTTATGAGGCATGCCGTGCCATTTAGGAATTGCTGGCTTAGGGGCTTAAAGCATTGGTTCATGAATTTTGTGACATAGTGGTTGTGAGTTCAATCTCTGGCTTGGGCAGTGTAAACCTTGGCTTAGTCAAAACGAGCAAGCAGTACCATAAATAAGAACTAGATAAAATATCCCCAGGTATGGGTAGTGGAATGAGAACAGATGTAGATTAAAAGGTTCAGTTCAGAATTCCATTTAGGTTACCCAAATCAATATGCACCTGAGGAAGGCTGGAGGGTACAATGGCTGAAACGTTGTAATAACACTGATGAAGGCAATAACCTGAATATAGTGTAAATCAAAATGCAGGATCTCTTTCAAATACAAAATATTCACTATAATAACTTTTGCAGTAGTACAAGAAAAACTGTTGGATTAAAAATAAATCCTTTACAGATATATATTTTAAATCATTTCACTCCCAAGCAAGGCGATAAAGCCACTAAGACACAAGGGGGTTACTGAGTGTAAAAGAATGAGAAAAAATAAAATATACTATTAAGGAGAGAGACAGAACAATAAAAGAATGAACAGGCAATAAGAAGACGGAAGTTAACGATTGACATTGCATTTAGATTTTTGAAGATCAAAGTTTGGCTGGAAAGCAAGTGGCCAGAACAGAGTTCCACTGCAAGCAAGAAACATGAGAGAAGAAACTGTTAGTCTAGAACTTATGGTTACATTTAGCCATTTCAACTGTAAAATGATGAGACCTAACTGCCAACCTGGTGCTGCACTAAGTTCAGAAAGTCGAGATACCAAAGAGGGAAGCCTATCAAAAGAATTATCATGAAAATATTTATAGAAAAGGCATAAGGAAGCTATGTTACAGTGGTAAGTAGTTGGCACCACATCAGGACTGATAATGTAGCAGATTTTTCTTTGGATTTTATTAAAAAAAAAACTCTAAATAAATAGCAGAAGTACCAGACAGGATGTGACACCAATTTTCAATGTATGAATGAATAGTAGACTTATATGTAAGATAGATTCTGATGTAAAAAAAATTATCTAGCTCAACACCATATATAAGAGTCTGAAAAATATAGAATGACTTGACCGAAACCATGGGAGTGAAATTGGGTTCATGAAACTATTTGGTTACCCTAGTGCAAAGGCACAATTTATCATGACTGAGGGTTTGGGCATACCTGCCTTGTTCGTCCACTGATCACCATATTGAAAATTCTTCCCCTTAAGTATAGCAAGTTTTTTAAGCATATAAAAACAAAATTAAATATTCAGTTACTTCTTCCTGAGTTTTTGTCTATGATGTATCTACTTACCAGAGGGTTTGATTGTAAAACGAATTTTCTATTATAAAATTCAAAATTACAGTCATGACTTCTGGAGCGGACATATAATTTCTGCAAAACTCAGAGTAGAGACAAATTTTAAAAAAAAATAGTCTTTTTCTATATATATATATATATATATATATGCATATAAAGTCCTGGGTATGATGATAAACTACATCTGCGTCCTGGGTAAGAGGATAAACTATCTCCAGCAACAAGGCCTCTGATCAGGAGGAGCGTGGAACCACCTCTTAATTGTTTCCAGGTCCACCCTGACCCAGTGTGATAGCTCCTGTTAGGGTCCCAAATATGGGCAAATAGTTAACCCCCAAAACTGGGGTCAAAACACTATGAAAGTGTAAAAATAGGTTTTTATACCAGAAATACTTTGTAAAGAAAAAAAAAAAAATATTACCAGCAAAGGAAAATTCTTACCAGAAATAGATTTTTGAAGGAAAAAATACCAACAATGAAAATTTTGATGGCATTAAATAACTCATTGAGGTTGATATGATGTAAACCAAACCAAATATATATATATATATATATATAAAAATGAGAATACCAGTTAGGAACAAATTTATTGCATTTGAATTTATCATCAAAATGAATTTATTGCTCGCCCCGGCAATCACTTGCTTCCTTTATTATCTGTAGGGGGAATAACTCGGTTATTAAATTTTCAGATTTATCTCCCTTGACTTTCCCACCATAATGTTTTGATATTGAATAAACGTCTTTTTATTTACTTAATGCTGCCTTTTAAAGTAATAAAGGAATCTTTTCAAAAATAATTTCTTTAACAGAAAAATATAAAATTGTAGAATATTGCTTATGTAAATGTGATGATACGAATAGCTTTTACAAAATGTACATAATTGATTAGTGCGATAGTTATTGAAGATATAAGGTCATGTCAAATATATTCTCCTCATCTTTGTTGTTATTATCACCACGTTTTGGCTATTGTGCCCACCAACCGTCTTCATCTTCTTAAATCTGTAATTTAATAATAAAGTCATTTAAATGTTCACAAAAACCTGCAAAAACATTAGCTTACAAAGCCACATGATGTCAGGCATCCTGGGTAAGATGTTAAACTACATCCAGCAGCAAGGCCTCTGATCAGGAGGTTTTGAGGAGCATGGAACCACCTCTTAATTGCTGGTGTTCCCAGGTCCACCCTGACATGGGGCGGTAGCGCCTGTTAGGGTCCCAGCTATTGGCAAATAGTTAACTATTACCAGCAATTCTTTTTTGAAAAAAAATATTACCAGCAATACAATTTTAAAGGAAATTTATTACCAGAAACAGATTTTTGACAAAACAGAATATTACCAGCAATAGAAAATGTTGTCGGCATTAAATAACCCATTGAGGTTGATATGCTGTAAAACAAAATAAACCAAACCAATCTAAACCAAAGAATACATATTCTGTTCAAACGAATATATCCTAAAAATGTTGTCGGCATTAAATAACCCATTGAGGCTGATATGCCATAAAATAAACCAAACCCATCTAAACAAAAGAATACATATTCATACGAATATATTCTAAAAATGTTGTCAGCATTAAATAACCCATTGAGGTTGATATGCCGTAAAAACAAAATAAACCAAACAATACATATTCTATTCATACGAATCTATCCTAAAAATGTTGTTGGCATTAAATAACACATTGAGGTTGATATGCCGTAAAAACAAAATAAACCAAACCACATGATATCAGACAGTTTTTGGTAAGTCGTTGAAAAAGAGCTTTAATTCATAAGCTTTCAACAAATGGTTTCAGAACCAAACCTCGGCTAAGCCAATGAACATTGTTGTACATTTTCAGTCCTTTATATACAGATTCTACCTCATTCAGTAAAATTTGAAATTGTCTTTTATTTAAAGCCTCGACAGAAATGTAATTAACAACATAACAGTTTGCATCACTTCCTGAAGTTCCTTTAGGCCAGCTTTTATACACAAAGCCTCTTCATGTATGACGCAATGAAAACCTATCAGTGAATGACCAACATCTTTTACAAACAGATTTATAAATCCTGCCTTCTCATCAGTCATGCTGGGGGCATCATCTGTTGTGGCAGATACTACTTTTGAAATGTGAATTTGTCAAGTAGGTAATTTGTTCCCAACTGCTTCACTAATTTCAACCCCAGGTTGTGTTACAAGAGCAACGATCCCTTCACATATTTCATCACCCACTACAAAATTGAGAAAATATAGCTAGCCTAGCTGTTGATGTAATGTCTGTACATTCATCAACACAAATAGAAAAAAACTTAGATCACGACAAATCTCTTGTCAATTGTTCAGCTGTATTTCTTTTCAACTTGAGTATCCTATCATTAACTGTTTTCCTACTCAAAGAAAAATGTTTAATGTGTTGAATAATCTTTTTTGAAAAATTATCAAAAAGGAAAGGTGCACATTCTAGCCAAGTTTCTTTAATATATTCCCTATCACTGAGTAGCTTTCCATGTTGGGCAATACCCTTTGAAACTTAAAAACTGACAGCAACTAATTTGGAACTGGGCCTGCCTGAAATAAAGTTCAGAAAAGTATTAGCCTGTTTTTTTTTGTCGTTCTCAGTTCATGAGAAATAAATTCTTTTTGTTCCTCCTCAGTTTTATTACTTAAGTTCTTATGAACACTTTCAAAATGTCTCTTTAGAGAAGAGGCCCTACAAATGATTATTTCGGAACAGAAAATGTATTGTCTTTCTTAATCATGCCAAATTTTTCAGTCCAGTATTCTTTAAATTCTCTAATACCCTCTTCATTTGAATGACATCGTTTCTTAGCTGATGATCATGACATTCTGCACAATCTGTAAAGAGTAGAAAATAAAAATACATGAGGTAATGATAGACATAAAAGAGGAGAAAGAATAAAAGTAAGTCAAAAAGAGAATCTAATGAATAAGTTTCACATACCAGAAACAATCCATTAGTGTGCCATGTTTGGTATGTGTGACTTATGACACAGTCCTAACATTGAAACTTGGAGCCTTGTCATCAAGCTTGGATCCTTTGGCCACCCTGTCTTCTTTCTTTTTCTTTTGTCTTGTCTTCCTTTTGACACTGAAGTCTTTTTTTGTCATGTCCTATGTTATTAGTTGTTATCACTTTTGGGGCATTGTGTTTTTTTTTTTTTTTTAAATGGTTCCTAAATGTTATTTATATCTATACTGGGCCTACTGAGGAAAACATTAAAATTAACTGTTTCATTGAATAACATATTTTGGAGTCTGATACTGGTCCAATGAACTACTTTACTGATTAATACTCTATAGCAGGAGTCGGCAACCTTTTGCTAACTATATGCCGACTTAGGGTTTTAAAATCATTCAGTGTGCCAAGAGCATACATATTTTTATACAAGTCAAGGTCAATATACCTGTTCTACAATATATTTTATATAGTAATATATAGTATATATATTTTGGTATATATTAAAATTGAAACAACTAAATATCTTACTTGCGTTGTAGTAGTTATTGGTTTGGACTTTGTGATGTCATTTGTGGCTGAGTGCCATTGGAAATTGCTTGGAATGGCACAGGTTGCCAACCCCTGCTCTATAATACAATATTGGACCTTTAAACTGATTGGTACTCTATGGGGGTCAGTGATATTCTTCATCTGAACTTAGTTGGAATCTGACATTATAATCATTGATTATAATCAAAGAAAATATCTTCAAACTAAGAATTTTTGCTTTCTCTATGATTATTCCTTAGGCTTGATTTCATATTTACCATTGATGATGGGACCATTTTACCATTTGGCATGGTTTCCAATCAGGGATATTTTGGGTTTGTCAGGGACTTTTATACTGATATATGAGGAGTTGTCCTTATGAGTAATTTCAGGAAAATATTTAATAGGAAAAACACAAAAAAAAAAACATGTAACCTACTTTTTTTTTTTTTTTTTTTTTTTTTTCTGTTTTGTTTTAATTTTATATTTAAAATTTTAAAGAAGTGAAATTTGAATGATTTTATTTTTTTCCAGAGAATATTTGAAGGCACCCGGGTCACTGTAGAAACTTTTCTTGCTTGGAAGACCAAGTTTGATGCCGAAATGAAAGACTTCAAAAAGAATGATATTACTTTGTCAAGTTCAAAGTTAACAGGTCAGTAGGTCATCAAGCATGTTTTTCTTAAAATTGAAGAATTATTGCCAGTAAACGTTATCTCAAACAGTGCTGGCTTTAATCCATAATTCTTTCCATAAAACTGACAACCTTTTCAATAGCTTTTTCACTTTCAGTCCAGGTTTTATCACAATCATGCATCTTGATGCAGATGTGTCTTGTTGTCATCCTTTACTCTTATTCCCATCATCTTTTGCACCAATACAAGCCATTAGGGTGAAATAAGCATAAGCAATTATCCAAGGTAAATTTCCTGAAAACCAGAAATTTCAAATCAGTTACATATCACCCAAATAGTTCAAATATACACATCAAAATCATGTCTGGATATGCAGGTTTCCAGATATGAGAGAGAACAATAAAAACAGGAATTAAGAAAATGGAAGATAATAATTGATATTGCATTTAAATTTTTGAAGTCTGAGTAGAGTTCCACAAGCATAGCTCAACTGTAAAATGATAAGATGTTGCCGCTAATCCAGTACTTCACTTAAATTAATGAACTCTAGGTACCACAGAGGTAAGTTCATCAGAACAATTACCATGAAAATATTTATAGAAAAAACGGAAATTTTATGAAAAATGCAAAATATATATTTAGGGGTAAAGATTGTTCTGTGATTGTACTTTTTCAAATATTTCTTTTTCTGAACATTTATTATAGTCTTATATCAAATGGTTACAAATGATAATTGTTACTGATAAAGATAAATCAATATAACTTAAAAGAGGTAGTCATATCCTTTTTCCTCACCTGTGTCTATGAAGTTGTTTGATCATGAATAACAAATAAACTCTCCCCAGTTGTGATTGACTTAGTGTGAAACTTGTATTTCTTTCATTTTTCAGGAAAGGAATTATTTTTACAAGATTCTTCTATGATTGTGTCTGACATGCAGTTTCTTCAAGGAGGTATGTTACTTGTATTTTTATTTTAAACTTTATTTTTGAATAAAGAAATATCTTTAACTTTTATTCAGTGAGTCTTTTGGACAACAACTCATCTCAAAGTCATAAACAAAAAACATCAATGATGATGATGCGGATAGTCCAAATGATTCACTGAATAAAAACAACTTATCTAAAAGTCTCAAATGAAAGCATCAATGAAGTTGGCGATAGTCCAGTGGTATTCATTGACTTTTAAAGAACGAAATAACAGGAATATATTCAATAAATATTTCGGTTCAGTCAAATCTTCATTGCGATTCTGAGACATTTTAATGAAATTTTGTTGATATTCTAATTAATATTTTAGGGATCATAGACGGGTTGTTTAGTTCTTTTGGATTATGTCCCTTTGTTTAACAGGCAGCCATGTTGAAAAAACTTCACCAAGAGAGGGCTTGAGGATAAACTGGTTGTAACGTTAAAAGCAAAGCAAAAATGAAATAAGCTGGTAATTCTTTACCCCCCTCCCCCGCAAAAAAACGTTATCATTGTACCATAATAGTTGTTGTACATATTTGCCTGTCTTTCTTTTCATTATTGGCAAATTGTATTAACATCAGTTTGAGCAAACACTTTCTGTTATATTTAAACCTGACATTAATATTCTTTTTGGTTCCAAATAACATGAGATACCTTAATGCAATCTGTTCAGAAGAAAACAAGAATTTAAATATTCAAAATTGCAGTGGGTGTGGTAGGGGGATTGAAGAACATGGGTAACATTTGAAACAACCAATTATATTTAAAATTCGGTGATAGAATATTTGTCACATTGAAAGAATGCATGGCACAATTAATTCAACTGTTTCAAAAGGATTTAAAATCCATTTTTTCCAATTATTTGAATCTTTCTCAAAATGAATTGTTCCAAGCAATTAATAAATTAAGTTTATCTTTTATTTTGTTTTTATTTACAAATCTAACACTATTTATATTGTTTGGACTGTTGTCCTGATCTTTATTGTCATATGCTTTGGCTGTTGTATGCTCTGGTCTTCTTCAGGGGATACACATTTGAATTTCAAACTGAATCCTTTATTTAGTCCACAGGCGCTGATTGTTCTAGTTCCACATGCCATGCCTTTTCTGGATATCTCAGTATCACTTAATTTCCTTTTAGTAACTTGACTTTCCAAGTTTTTGTTCACTTCTGGTGTGGCCAAGTATTGAACTCACAACTCTTTGGGTCAAGTCATTTTTGGATTACTTCAACCAACTCTCTTATCCACTGAGCCATGTGAATATGACAATAAAGATGAGGACAACAGTCCGAACAGTGTAAATAGTTACAATACCTCATCTCAGAAATATAGACAAATGTTGAAATCTAACACTTATTCCCAAACAGATTTCATGCACCAACTCTTAACAACTATTATGGGATTGAGACAGTAATATTCTCACCTCTGTCCCAAAATAAATGTTACAGTTGTATATTTTTCTTTTGATTATTGATAACACTTAAAATTTAGGTTTGCAGTTTCATACTTCTATGTTTAATAAACCTGACAGTTATTCTAAAAAAAAAAAAATGTCTTTGTTTAAAGGTAAGCAAAAACTGAAATGTTCAAAATCACACCTGTTTTGATTGGATAATATCAGCCATGAGTTCAAACTTAAGAACATGTAAGGCAAAACCAGACAAAAAGATATTTGAAAAGCATTGTTAACATATTTATTATGTTGTTCTAAAAAATGAGCTAATACCCAGAATTATTAATTTTGTTTTTTCTTCTTTTCCTCTGAATCTAAAATTTCATCCCACTATTTGATCAACTCTCTTTACTTTATCAACTGGAGCGCTTAGAGCATTATGAGTAAACTGCAGCCTGTGAGTCACATGCCGCTCAGTTGGCTTTCTGAATAGTATGCCTAATTTCACAAGGAAAATGTTTATTAATTTATTGTTTGATTTCTTTCATTCTCACTTGTTCACTCACGCACTCTCTCATTCATAACATGTTTCTTTAATTTTATCAATATTTGTTGAAAGTAACGTTGTCAGAATTTTAATCCTTTGGCGATTTCTCACTAAGGAAGATTGTACGTGTAATCATCTTTTGCTTCAGAAACAGGAAATATCAATAATAATTTTTTTTTCTAGCGAATAAATATACAGGGTGGTCCAAAAATCTTGTCACCCTATACATAATATAACTTGAAAATCGTTTAAGCTACAATTCAACAACGCTCTGTGGGGTTATTATCAAGGAGAGAGTTTCACATGAATGATACCAGAATACCTATCATTTGAAGGACGCTTTGCAAAAATCAACAAAGCACATCTTCGTAAAATATCACACAGGATATGATGCCGTATCATTTTGTACCAAAAAGTGATGGTGTTCATAATGACCTTTTCGATGTCTGACAGAGTCAATGAAAGTGAATAAACTAAATCCAGTACATGTGTTTTGCATTACCGTATTACTTGTTCTATTGTTATAAAGTTTTGGTAGGGGTAACAAGACTTTCGGACCACCTTGTATTTTTGTGTTATCTATTTTCCAATTTCTTAAACACAGTCAACAGATTATGGCTGTGTTCATAGCTGATATTAGTGAAAATATGTTTGGAAAATAAAAAAAAACATTCATATAACTCTAGATACATGCATAAAATAATCGATATATTCAGTTAAAAATAAAAACACAAATCATCCTTGATAATGGCTAAAAGAATAACGGAAAGTGCTTTGGACATACAGCATATTCGTGTAATTTTATGTGAGCACCTCGACGTGGTGTAATGGTTACGACTGAGTAGTGAGTTCGATCCTCACTGGGTGCCTCATACTTTCGGCCCTGTGCCACATCTAAACTGGGTTTAAAAAATCACTATTCGTGTAATTTTTATATAGAAAAAAAAAAAAAAATTTTCTATTTCAGATGGCTGACACGAAAATGATGATGTTCATAAAAACCTTCTTGATGTGTGTCAGTGTTGTCAATGAAAGTGAATAAACTGAATCCAGTACATGTGACTTGTTCTCATTAAGATTTGGTAGGGGGTGACAAGACTTTTGGACCACTCCGTACTTCTTCATTTACATATATTTTAGTATATGCAATGCAAATGAATAAATTAAGAACAAATCTCACGCTGCAGTGACTGTGTTAATCACATGCATCTTTGATGATAATATATGAAAACTTCACATATTTCTTTTGTATACAGGAATCGTGTCCTGGGTAAGACAATAAACTACGTCTGACAGCAAGGCAAATAGTTAACTCCCAAACTTGTGTAAAAATAGGTTTTAATACCAGAAATACTTTGTAATAAAAAAAAAAAAAAATTATTACCAACAATAATTCTTGAAGGTAAAAAAAAAAAAAAAATTATTATCAGCAATACTAAAGGGCACAGAATCCCCAATATGCACTTACATGCCAAGAGAAATTTACAGTGAAACATATACTGTGAGGTTGTGGAGATTTTGATCTAGTGCGAACAAAATATTACCAAATGAGTAATTATAAAAACATTTTACGAAAATAAAACCATCCAAGATTGTAAATTTCCTAAAAGAAGTTGGATTGTACTCAAAAAATATGAGTAATTAAAAATGGTTCAAATATATATGTATACATACACAACTTTTTTTTTTTTTTTTTTTACCAAACTATCACTATGAATCTATTTCAAATATTTTGTTGGCATTAAATGACCCACTGAGATTTTAATATGCCATAAAACAAAAAACCTTACCGGTTTGTACTTCTCCCCCAAATTTGGTTTTGATTGGTCATTATATGACTATTTTAGAGAGTGTGACAGGCAGATGGACTAACAGTCACAGAACTAATATATATATATATATATATATATATATATATATATATATATATATATATATATGATAAACAATGTAGAAATGGAATTTTTTTTTTTTTTTTTTTTTGAAAATAAATAATTCCCAGCAATGAATAAAAACTTTTCCTTTTTAGGCTTGGGTTTTCAGTTCCTTTTAAAGCCTACTTCAACTATGATGTCTCTGCCTAAACTCTGAAATTTTATTTACTATTTTTATTATTTTTCTTCTCCAATAGGAGTAAATAGGCTCACCTATCATCTGGTCTGCACTCCTTGCCAGTCTTTTGAACAGGAGTAGAGGTTTATCCTTTGTGTCTTGTTGAGGATTGGGTTTTCAGTTCCTACTAAAGTCTACTTCAAATCTGTACTTCTAATGTCTCTAACAAAATACTGAAATTTTATTTATTTTTGTTCCTCAATAAGACCAGATATGTTCACTTATGGTCTGATTCCCTGGCCTTTTGAACAGGAGAATTTTATCTCTTCTCATTCTCTTTCACTCACGGTAGCCCCCTTGCATCTTAGTGGCATTATCGCCTTCCTTAGTGGCGGGGAGTGATTTAAAAAAAATAAAACAAACTATTCTATGGCAATAGTTGTAATTTTCATGAGTTTTATGTTCCAGAATTTCTCTCACTTATTTAAAAAATTTTTTCTGTTTCCTGCAGAGTCCGAAGCTGTGGAAGTGGATGAATCATTGTTTCAAGAAATTGATGACTTTGGTTTGGATGAAGAATTGCAAGATTAAAGCAACTTAGTCTTTCTTGTTTCGGGATTGTTTAATAAATACACATTTTTATATAAAAAAAAAGAAAAAAAAAAGATGGTTGTCTTTATTTCAGTTTCTTTTGACAAGCCACCTCATATATATATATATATATATAGCGATGCATGCACACACACACACACACAGTGGAAAATCAATAAGTGGCATGTTTTGCCAAGAGTCTCTGTTCCCTTTTGGCTGGTTCAGATTAGAATGAAAGAAATACAAAACTGTATGTGAGGAATAATGTGTTGGGATCTCTGAGGATAATTACCTTATTGCATCCATGGCCAGAGTCTGCCTGTTTGTTTTATATTAGAGTTGTTTGGTCTCTGTTGGATTTGAAATCAGTCCACCAAAACTAGATTGTTTTTTATGTATATACTTATTTACATGTACATACACACCCAACCAGGCATAGACATATATTAGAGCTTTTCTTTTTCTTATATATATATATATACCTGTGCATATATATATAAGCATACACACACACAAACACCTGCATATACACATTATAGAGTCTTTTTTTTTTGTCAAGTATGCAACTACATAGTTTTGTTTTTATTTCCTTCTAACCTAAGGAAGCCAGAGAGAGCAGATGCTCCCATCACTTCCACTTTGTCTCACACACATGCACATGGCCTGACTAATACATTCAAGCATGAAACAGACTGTCGCCACGAGGTAGAGTGTTACAGGGTGAGAAGCAGTTTGTGCAGAAGATAACGGTTAACACTAGACTTGAACAGGTTAAGATTGTAGTGATTGGGGAAAGCATCCTTTTGGGAGTTGGTTCCAAAGAGCATTGGTTTGTGGGGGAAAAAGGTGCTTGAGTGGAAATTACTTCTCTCCAATGAAATACAAAGGGAAAGAGGGTGGTTTGCTATAACATGTGTAGCATGGCAAGTCCAAACCATGATGGTTTAAACTGGTGGGACCAAGGAATGTAGCTTGTCTGAAAACTTTCCATAGAAGTAATGGTAGACCAGTGAGAGGCTTGATACATCCCACCTGTGAGATAGAGGTTGGAGGGTGAAGAATAATTCATCACCCACAAGGACACAGAGATGCTCTTAGACTCTATCAAGACCAGGAAGTGTAGACTGGGCCGCTCTTGCCCATATATATGGCAGCAGAACTCCATTTTAGGCTTGCTCTAGCTCTTGTAAAGGTAGATGATGGTAGGAGGAGTCAATTACTTATTAGAGTGCTTCAGGGAACTGACCATTTTTCCAGAATCTTTAGTGATGGATCATATGTATGGGTTCGAATTGAGGTCTGGGTTGACTTTGAGGCCCAATAGTTGCTCAAGACACGAGGTGTCCCTGAGGGAACACCCGTTCATCATGACTGGTGATGATGGAATATAACTAGTTTGGTTTTTGAGGCGTTGGATATAACCAGCTAGTGCCCCCGACGTAAGACGCTAGGCCTAGAATGGAGGAGAGACTGGCTGCCAAACTCTGGTCATCTAGAGTTTTGGAGGTGCAACCATTTATCATCTCTGATAAGCTACGTCCGACAGCAAGGCATCTGATCAGGAAGCTTTGAGGAGCGTGGAACCTCCTCTTAATTGCTGGTGTTCCCAGGTCAATCTTGAGCCGGGGTGGTAGCACCTGTTAGGGTCCCAGCTATGGGCAAATAGTTAACCCTGAAACTGAGGTAAAATGCATTATAAAAGTGTAAAAATAGGTTTTAATACCAGAAATACTTTGTAAAAAATTATTACCAGAAATAAATTTTTGAAGAAACGAAAATGTTACCAGCAATACGTTTTTGAAAAAAAATAATATTACCAGCTATACATTTTTGAGGAAAAAAATATTAACAGAATAGATTTTTGACAAAACAAAAATATTACCAGGAAAAAAAAAGTGGTCGGCATTAAATGACCCATTGAGGTTGATATGCCGTAAAACAAACCAAACCAAACCAAATCATTTATCATCTCGTTTGAATAGATATTCACAAATGACAGGTAGGCAGATCATTTATGTAAAGTAAAAAGACTGGGAAGTGACACACCTGGGAATGTCTGCGTTAATTGCTAGGGCTTTGAAGAACTGGCTGTTTACAGGGTGTGGCAGAAATAACTCCCATACTTTAAAGGTTAACAAAAAGACAAGGGTAACTGTTTAAAAAAAAAATTCACTTTTTTAGACAAAGTGCTACAACATTATATACATTATTCGGACTGTTATCCTCATCTTCATTGCTATATTCACAACGTTTCGGCCGTTGTACGCTCCGGCCTTCAGGTAATTGGATCTCTGAAATGAGGTATTATGATTACTTGCATTATTTACATTATTCGGACAGTTTTCCTCATCTTCATTGCTATATTCACAACGTTTAGGCCGTTGTACGCTCCGACCTACTTCAGGTGATTGGAATTTCAAACCAAACTCTTTATTTCGTCCACTGGCGTATTTTGTGCTGACACATGACCAGTAGATAAAGGTGTTGGTCAGGTCCAGTGACTAGACTCAAAGAGTTGTGAGTCAAATACCAGGTCACAGCAGTAGTTAAACCAAAAAAAAAACTTGGAGAGAAAAGGGAAATAACTGAGACACCCAGAAGAGGCATGGCAAGTGGAACTAGAACAATCTACCTCGGTGGATGAAATAAAGGGTTCGGTTTGAAATTTCAAATCCCCTGAAGAAGGCCGGAGTGTACAACGGCCGAAACGTGAATATAGCAATGAAGATGAGAATAACAGAATAATGTAAATTAAGTAACCATAATACCTATAGATATAGACAGATAAAGGGCTACAATTTGTATTCATTTGGTTTTAAAAATAACATCCTCCAAATGGTGGCCTATATTCGTCATATACTCTTGCAGTTGAGTTCTGATTCCTGCTGGGTTTGTAATATTTACTTATACGCAAATAAACTTGGGGAAAAGTATGAATCCACATCTTCATCCCCCAGCTATGGGTTAATTAGTAAAACTAATATTAAGGTATTCAGGGACCTACCTGTTAGGAAGGACTTTATTACTGAGAAGACTCTTCCAGTGATTCCATAACTACAGAGCTTGAGCAGCAATCCTTTGTTCCACACTACGTCAAAGGCCTTCACACCTTTTCAACATGTCTTATAAATACTTGATTGGGCTTAGCTTGAGTGAGTGTGGTTGCTATGAAAGTTTTCAAAATGCTTCTCAAACCAATTTTAGGCAACTGGTTTTGTGCCTGGTAACACTGTGCATTATCCTACTGGAATTACACCTTATTCTTGGGGTATGTGGAATCTATGGCTTCAAGTATTCACACAAGTGCAACATAATTGTCTTTAGTTAGCTATCTCCACGAGATAGCTAAAAAAAGAGCATAGCATGACGAAAACAAAATTTTATCGTCTAAATGTTTATGTTGTTATTAAGAGGAAAGATCAAAGTATTTTGGGGGTATTTTTTTACATTTTTTAATCGTTCCTAGCACATCCGAAATTTTCATTAAAAATCTTTTTTTTTTTTTTTTTTTTTGAGTCAGCAACCATTTTTTTTCCATTTTATAAAAAAACTAAAAATCTCAGTTTGAAATTCTTTTAAATATCATTTATCATCTTTTCAAAACTTATTTTAAGAAAATCAGAAATTATAATGTTTATTTAAAATATTTTGAACCAAGCTTAACTTAGCTTCTGCGCCGAAAAGATGTGATTTGAAAATAAAACAAAGCAGGTCATACACTTTCGCGTCACTTGACAGGTGATGAATGACATATTGACGGATTCCGTGAGGATAATCTGTTCTACGGAAGGAGAAAAGTGAAATTATTTACATTTAAATAAACAAATTATTTACCTCGTTATTTTTAAGGAAAACTTTCAGCGCTCTAAAACTGTCCCTCCCTATATATATATATATATATATATATATATATATATATATATATATATATATATATATCTAGGGACAGGTATATCTCTCTCTGTGTATATATATATATATATATATATATATATATATATATATATAGGGACAGGTTTATGCCTTAAGCAGACTCCGGGCCAATAGAATTTGGGGGACCCTTAATTACGTATGTCACCCCCGTGTCTATATATAAAAAAAAAGAATTTTAGATGATACGTTTTGGTGTAAAAAATGAAACATTTTTTAATGATTCTGGATTAGTGATTAATGATTGTTTTTAGTTTTATCTGGAACCTAACACCAGAGGGTCCTTGGGTTTCATAGGATACAGCCCATATATATATATATATATATATATATATATACAGAACGATTAAAAACTTGTTCGTCTGAAACTCCATAATCCCAAGGAGGATGAACATAACATCATTCTGCTAATTGACTTTTGTTTGTAATAATCCAATATTATATATATATTTCACCAGGATTTTCTGTGGACTTGTCTGGACAACTATCAAACCTCAAGCGTTCAGTTGGATGTCCAAGGATGGAAAAAGACAAATTAGAAGAAAACTTGAAACACTTTTTGATCTGAAAACCTGGGGAACCCAAACATCAAACCGAAAGAAGTGACGTAATACATGTTTCATTAAGTTGAAAGGGTTTTAAAGACAGTAGAAGGAGGCAATTAATTAGGTTCGGGAAGCAGAGATGTCATCAAAATCCTGCTTTAAAAATTTCATTTGTGGCTTTTCACCCGCAATGGGCTAGTATCAATTCAGAAAGCATAAATAAATATATATTTATATATTTTCTCCATAGTATGCTAGCATATACGTATAAAAATAAAGACACCATCCAATGCTGACCCTCATTTATCGTTCACGATGGAGAGTCCACCATATATATATATATATATATATATATATATATAATGTAATGAAAATCTTGAAAGTCTGTTTGATAATCCCAAGGAGGATGAAATCCAGAGAGCTCAATATTAAAAAAAACAGATCACTTTAACGTTCCATTGTTATAATTTATTTCATCAGAATTTTCTTTTTTCTGATCATCAAACCTCAGTTTCAAGGATGAAA